CTCTCTCTCTCTCTGACCACTTTTGTTCTTCCTGGTCATCACCATCATCACCACGATCACCATCAACAGCAGTGGCTCTGGTCTCCAGGACTACTACTTCTCCAGCACACATCAGTATTGTTTGTTCTCAAGTGGTGGCGGTGGTGTTTTCGAAACGACAGAGCTATACAGTCCGCTTTTTGGTTTACGATTGGCCTTTCACCTCCTCCTTCTTCTTCTCCTTCTTAACTCAATCGCTTCAGTGATCACCAAACACTGCCTAAATCCGTGGACTAGTAATAGTAATGGCTGAAGATGGTGAGGTACTTCGCCAGCTCTGGGACTCCTACTTGCCCGTCGCCTTTCACCTCTCTTCGAATGATCTGCACGCCATCAAGGACCCGGAGCCTTACTACGTAAGAACAAATGATGTTGATGTTCTATTTTCTAAAAATACCTCCCATTTTGCAGTCAATGGTGCCTCGGCTGAGCTACTTCACGCTAGTCATCGACAAGGTGGTCGTCTACTTCTCGCAGTTCATCGACTCCAGCGCCAAGTCGGCGGCCAACCTCTGGCTAGACTTTCTAGGCGTCCCGCTCAAGCTGTAAGTTCTTTTGTGGAGTTCTATTTTTGCTCATAAAACTCCCCCCTTTTATCACCACCCACAGAAACTACCCTATCGGCCTTCTCTACGACCTCTACGCTGCCGACATTGAGCTTCCCTGGATCATCACGGTCAACTTCGATGTAAGTGCAGAAGAACTTCAAAAGTTCTATTTATAATTTTTTTTATTCTTCCAGAACTTCCCCTCCGAGCAGCTCGTCCGCTGCAACACTCGCCCCTCCCTCGAATCGACGTACATGTACGCCCTTAAGGAGGCCGACGTCCTCAAGCACCGAACGCCTCGGGTGAATACAATGCAAAAGCGGGACCACACCGCCCTTTGGAAGGGCCTTCTCGACTACAAGTTTGACGCCTTCTGGAAGATCAACCGCCGGCTGATGACGCCAGATGAGCCCATCACCACCAGCTCTTCATCAGCAACAAATGTGGCCGAGGAGGTGACCGAAAATCACAGCCTCACCCCCTGCGTCGGCACCTTCCGCCACGTTCCTTTTCGCCTGTATCTGGTGAAGCCTGGAGCGGAGGTTCAACATCCGCTGTACCTGCAGAAGTTGGTCAGTCCGCTCCTAGAGCCACCTGAAGATAGAGGATCAACTTCATCTTCTTCTTCTGAGCCTAGTCAGCCGCAGCAGCAGTCTTTGGCCACCTTTGGCCACCTTCTTTCGAGTGTGCTCCCCAGTCCGCCGGAAGCGCTCTCCGCGAAGTACCGCTTTGTGGTGCACGGCATCGAGCCGTCGCTGGAGACGCCGCTGCAGTGGATGAGCGAGCACTTCTCCTACCTCGACAACTTTCTCCACATTGCCGTCTTTGAGAAGACGTAGTCTTTTCTAAATTGAGTAGCATTAGGGTCTTCTTCCTTTTCTTTCTTTAACAATTCCTTACTTATCAAAAGACGTACGTCACCCTTGGTTCTCAAAGACTCATTTTGCAATGCATCTTCCTTTCTTCCTTCCTTCCGCTTGGAACACTCAACTCACTCACATCTTTTTCCGCTTTACCTCTCTTTCCTATTTGCAAAGACAATCTCAATTTCCTCGCAGCAATGACGCAGCCAAACGCAATGCAATGAAATGAAAGTTCATCAGACAACTCGCTCAAAAACATCTTTGTCCGTTTTATTATGAATCTCTCTCTATTTAGCAGAGCCTTTCCTCCTCATCTTCGGCTTCGCGTTCTTTCTTCTTCTTCTCTTCAGTACATCATCACCCTCTTCACCCTCTTCCTCCTCATCTTCCTCCTCATCATCCTTCGTCACCACCTGCTTCTTCAGCCTGACCGGCCACCTCCAGGCCAGCCGCTGATTGCCGGCCACCAGCGCCTCCAAGCTGCTGATCCGCTTGGGGGAGACGCCCTTCGCCCAGCCCAGCCCACTTCCGTCCGCCCGCCTGCTCCACAGCAGGCTGAAGGTGACCGAGTGGTAGAAGTAGCGGAAGAGGAGACTGGTAAAAAGGTGGACGCCGGCGGACACGGCCCAGCCCAGGCCGTGGCGGTGCACCGTCCAGAGATGGGAGGCGTTGAAGCGACCGGCGCAGCCCGCCAGGTAGTTGTTGTCCAGGAGGAAGGTCACGTCGGAGTGGCGCATCACATCCGGCGGGGTGAAGTGCAGGCACGGGACGGTGGAGGAGTAGTTGCAGCAGCTGAAGGGAATGTACGGCCAGGGGTAGTAGGTGAAGTTGAACTCCTGAACTCCATTTTCACCCTTGGTTTTCTTCTCATTGTCATCATTTCCATTATCACCACCACCACCACCA